TTTCCTGCTTTCACAGTCCCTTCATCATTATCGGTTGAGTAATTTCTAGGAGATATAGTTGTATTTGTAGGAGAGGAGCAGGGAAAAGTGAGTCTACATCATCTTGTTCTGAGACTAGAAATCCCCTAGTGTAGGTTTTTTTTTATCCTCACCCAAGGACATTTTTCCATTTTTTTGTTCAGATAGAGAGTAAGAGAGAGAGAGAAACATCGACGTGAAAGGGACACATCGAGTGGTTGCCACCCACAGGGCCCAACCAGGGCTGGGGACAAACTACAACTGAGGTACATGTCCTTAGTGGGAACTGAACCCCGGGTCTCTCTGGACCGCAGGCCGACACTCTAACCACTGAGCCAAACTGGCCAGGGCCCCTAGTGTAGTTTTAAAGTACTATTTTGGTACAAGTGAATTTGAGCATCTTTTGATAAGTTGTAAAGCCATTTCAATTTCTTTTTCTATATTTAATGTTGATATTATTTGCTCATTTTTATATTAAGCTGGTTGTCTTTGACATATTGATATGTAACAGCTGTTTTCATATTCACTATGGGTAGCAGATACTTACCCCAGATTATTGTTTCTCTTTTGATTTTGCTTTTATAATGGCACTTTTGCCATGCAGGTTTTGTTATGTAGTTGAATATATAAATCTCTTCCATAGCTTCTGGGTTTTGTGTCATTCTTGGAAAGGCCTCCTCATTTCAAGATTTTAAAAAGTCTTCCCATATTTTCGTCTAGTACTTTTATAGTTTCATTTAAAAACTTTGGGTCCATCTGGAATTTATTTCTGTGTAGTGTGAAGTAGTGTATCCAGTTGTCCCAAAGCATTTATTAAATGGTCCATCATTACCTCTCTCCTTTGAAATGCTACCTTTAAAATAATTGTGGTCAAAAAACATATAACAAAATTTACATCTTAACCATTTTAGGTGCACATTTCAGTGGTGTTAAGGTAGTCACATTGTCGTGCAACAGATCTCAAAAATTTATCTTGCAAAAGTGAAACTCTATGCTCAGCGAACAACTCCCCGCTGAAACGCTACCTTTTCATCATAGACTAATTTCTGGTCTCTTTTACTTCTTGCCTGAACCACTGTAACAGCTTTCTAGCATCACCATAATTCCAACCTGCCATACACACTATAGCCTGATTCATTTTCCTCATGCAAGCTCTGACCACAGCACTCCATTATTCAGAACCTTCAAAGCCCTCCTTGATGTACTACAATTTAAATTAAGCTCCCATTATACTCTTTCATAGCACCTGTACCTTTCCTCCTGTCGCTTCTCATAATTTGTAATTATAATTATCTGTGTGATATATATATTTTTTATCCTCACCCGAGGACATCCTTCCATTTTTTGTTCAGATAGAGTGGGAGGGAGAGAGGGGGAGAGAGAGAGAAAAACATTGACGCGAAAGGGACACATGGTGTGGCCGCCACCTGCAGGACCCAACCAGGGCCGGGACAAACTGCAACCGAGGTACATGCCCCTAGCAGGAACCGAACCCAGGTCTCTCCGGACGGCAGACCAATGCTCTGACTGCTGAGCCAAATCGGCCAGGGCTATCTGCGCGATATTTGACTGTTGTCTATCTCATCACTAAACTTTAAACTTCATGAGAGAAAGGGCAATGTGCTCACCACCTATTTGCAGTACTTAGTGTGCGCCTGGTACACAGTAGGTGCTCAGTGCATGCTTGTGGAATGATCGGTCTGTGGGATAAAGTAGAAACAACGCAAGATCTGATTTGAACTTAATCTCTCAGCCCTCTGCCCTTCAAGGACATCAAGCTGCTGCATTTCCACCCTTCCCCACAAAGCCTGAGCTTTTCGTTTGTGCCACGCCCTCCTTTCAGTTCCCCACCAGCATTGCTACCGTACGGAAATCCAGTGTATCCTTCAAGCTGCGGCTGTCTCCATCACTGGACTGTCAGTTCCTTGAGACCAGAGAGAGCCCCCCCAGTGTGGCCTCAGGGAGCGTAACCACTCTTGGTGTCCTAGGAGGCGCTCTTGGTCAGACTTCATCTGCTCCTAGGCTACAAGCTCCTTGAGGGCAGGCAGCGTTCCTTATCTGTGTGCATCTGGGAACCTTGCCTCCTAGCCCCCAGGGAGAGGAGTTGGCTTCAGAAATCTTCTGGTGACCCCGTGAACGTGTCTAGTTGAGTAATAAGAGGCCTGAATGTGAAATGGTGGGGCAGAGGCAGAAGCTGCCCTGCCTTCAGCCCGCTGTGCCCTGTGACATTCTGCCTCTCTGGCTCCTTCTCCAGCAATAAAAAATGACTGCTTCACGCTTCTCACCTGAGCTCAACCTGGGTTCTCTCTCCCTGGAGGGCTCCCTGCCGCCTTCTCCCTCCAAGCCCTCTGGAGAAGAGGATGTTCAGTTGGCCACACTTCTGGACCCTGGCACCAGGAGGCAGGATTGCCATGCCCGAGGTCTTGTTCTCCCCGCTCCTTCAGAAGCACCTTCTCTGGGGATGTCCAGGCCATCCCCCACCCCCACCTGCTTCCCAGCGGTACTGTCATCTCCATGACTCCATGGCAGCCCCTCCCCCTCAGAGGCACTGACCCCTGGCTTGGGCTTCTCCTCACCCTAAAGACTGCTGACACCCTAGGGGCTCCAGAGGGCAGGGGTGGCAAGCGGTCCAGCCTGCTGACCTGTTTTGTTTGGCCAGAACCATGTTTTGGGAAGGCCTCAGCAGCGGGAGGGGGTGGGGAGACCTGGAACCCACAGCCTTTTAGGGTCTAAGTTCCTTCCACATCCTGCTATTCTGCTTTAGATCCCACTCCTGAGCTCACCTCTGCCCTGTGTCATTAGACTGTCAAGATTCCGAAAACTTGCCAGGCCGGTATGGCTCAGTGGTTGAGCATCGACCCTGCACCAAGAGGTCACCAGTTCGATTCCCAGTCAGGGCACATGCCCAGGTTGTGGGCCAGATCCTCAGTGGGGGGCATGCACGAGGTGGCCAGTCGATGTTCTCTCTCATCGATGTTTCCATCTCTCTCCCTCTCCCTCTTTCTAAAATCAATAAAAATGTTATATATATATATATAAATATTCTGAAACCTGCTTGCTGACCTTTTCCTTCACTTCCTGCCTCTCCCAATCCTCATCTCTTCCCTGCACACGGGCCTCCAGGCCCTTGTTTTCTCCACCTTCTCCCAAGCTTCCATTCTTTCCTCTTCATTTCCCCACCCCTGCCTCAGCAGCCCCTCAGAGCCCCATGTCTCCATGTTTGCAGGCTTAGATAAATCTAACCATCCACCTTCCCTGGGATCATCCTAAAAATCAAAGTTAGTTAAGTCTTTGCTTCCCTGCAAACTCCCAGAGATTCTCCAACAAGCTACAGGGCTGGTGGTACTACAGATAAAGCCACGCTCCTCACTTGGCCTAGAAGAACAGGAAAAGTCTGCGTCTCAGCCACCACAGCGCCTTCCATGAACCTGTGCCTGCAGAGCAGCTTACCCCCTTACTCATTCTAGCCTTGGCTGGCTGTAGTCTCATTTCAAACCCTACTGTTTCTGTAGGTAGACACGTCTTTGTGTAAAGGCACAGGGCAAGGCCGGTGAGCATGCACCACGAATAGATAAACAGTTGCTACCTCTGTGCAGGGCCAGAGGTGATCAAGATTGAGGGAAACACAAGCTCAAAGGGTTTAAACCTTATGTGTAGTTTCTACTTTTCCCAAAGAGGTTGTATCATATAGTTAGTGCTTGTGAGATATTAAAAACAAACAAATGAACCAGTTTAGTCCTAGGAAGCCTTCCTTCCCCAGACTTCCCAGGCAGATGGAGACGTGTCCTTTTCTGGGATCGAACAGCACCTTCCCCAAGCATTATGGGCAATGCTGTGTTCGTGATTTGTTGGGGCCTGTCATTCTCCTTCTAGATGGGGGACCCCTCAAAGGTGCACACTTTATCTAATTCACGCTCCAATGCCGAGCAGAGTGGCTGGCCCAGAGCAGGTGCTCAGGGAGTGCCAACCAAACCCAGTGCATGACCTCTGCCAGCAGGCTCCTTTGAAAGTGCTTGGTGTGGGACAGGCCTCATGCTAGTCCTGAGCTGCTCCAAGTCATTTTCACAATGTCCGAGGAAGGATGTCTCTAGGAGTCTGAAACGTCTGCAGAGGAGACCCTTGGGTTGTGCCAACACGAGGATAGGGCTGAACTGCCCTCCCAGGGCCAGGATCCAGTTCAGTGCTGTCTTGTCACTGGGCACGTTTCTGAAGCCACTGCCTCTTCAGCAGTTAAACTAAGGGCAAAGGCTGTATCCCCAAGAGTGGAACTTGTCAAGTCCAGCCCTGATCTGTGTCTGTGAGATGGAAAGGGCAGCCCCCACACGCGTTGCCAGGGAGGCCCGAGTCCGGATACACTCAGACCAGGCTTGGAGGGAGGGCCTGAGCAATTGTCTGAAGGACTTAAAGAAGGCATGGGAATCTGTTTAATCGATGGAGTCTGGAGCTTTTGTAATTTTCCAGAGAAATCTGAGTTCCCAGGTCATAGGATCCTACTTAGGTTCTATCTACTGCTCCAAGGCAAAAGGACAAAGGGGTGGCCTTAATGGGTCAACTGGGCTGGGGCTACAGAGTGGGTGGGGGTGGCTTTAAGGGTTGGTGAAGTGTGTGCCACATGGCCAGGACAACCCTTTAGATCTGAATGTGCAAGTGGCGAGGAGGCTGAGGAAGGGTCTGGATCAGTCTGTCTTCTGGGAACGCCCCCAACCAGCCCCCGTTTTCAACCTCGAACAGGACAGTGTTCCTGGGGTCTTAGGGGCAATGAGGGCTCCGTTCTTGGGCTCCTGAAGAGATACCGGTGCAGCAGTGGCGGCAGGAATTCAGTGAGCAGTCCCCTCCAGCTCCTCCATCCCTCCTCTGCCATCCAGCTCCCTCCTGGCTATTCACCCCCAACCCCCAACCCCCAACCCAGGGGCCTCAGAATTGCTGAAAGGACACCAGACCATGTAGACCTCAATGAAGAACACCTCCAGTTGGCCCATCTCTTTGTAAGTAACTTTTATTTTTATTTACAACAGAATTGGTGGCTTTATTCCTCCATGTTTAGGGACAGTTAGCATCAGCAGCCAGAAGGAAAGTCTGCAGTGAAGTCGAACTCATTCTGCCCCAGCCACAGCTCCGGAAGCTCATTGGCCCGGTCCAGTCCCAGTTCCACCACCAGCGACATCAGCACCTCCTCATCCACTGGGTCGGAATCGATGATTGCAGGGCTCTGGGCACCAGCAGAAGAAGAGAGTGACCCCGCGCCTCCCGCCTGAGCCCCAATGCCCCAGTTTTGCAGGGGCCCTGCCTCCCCGGGTTGGCCCTGAGTGGCGGCAGCCATCCCATGATACTGGCTATTAAGTTTCTGCAGCTGCATACTGGCCAGCAGTTGAGGGGCAGGGTGCACGTTGAAGGGTGGGGGTTTAGAGGGAGGGGTGGTGGCAGGAGAGCCTACTGGAGGTGGAGATCCCGAGGAACTAGTGGGAACCCCACTGGCCTTGGTTCCATTCGAAGTGACCCCGGGGTAGTGCAGAGTGGCTACTGCTTTGCGATCTTTCACCCCCAGGTTAGAGTAAGCCAGAGAGCTCATCTCTTGGTTGGCATCCTAGAAGACAGAGAAAGGCACAGCATAGTACGTAGGCCCAGGAAGCTCCTACGTGGACTTCATTTGGGGCTAGTGGTGGGCAGGTAGCAAGAACACCCCCTGAGAAGCTAAGCTCCCAGCCCGAGGATCCTTTTGATCTCAATGCTCAGAGCCCAGTCCTCGTGCTGGGCACCTGCCACCCTAAGTGGGTTTGCTGCTGTCATCTCCCTCCTGCCACCTCCCCATTCCAACAAGGGCATCTCATTGGCCCTCTTCTCGGCCTCAATGGTGTTGTCTTGTTCCAGTTGTACTTCTCTGCTCCCTGCCCAGCCACCTCTCAACAACCCAAGTGGGTTCAATTTGACCACATTTAGGCAGAAGGTATCCTCCCTCTCCCCAGGGAAAGCCGTGTTGTCTCCTCCCTGCTAAGTGACACTAGACGCCACAACTAGGAGGGCCTCTAACATGGCCCCAGACCAGGTCGTCTTTCCCGGTCTGTGTCTCATTTGTAAAATGGCAAAAGTTACCTCCTTCACAGGTGAGGTGCCACCCTTGACATCAAGTGCAGGTCTCGACATTGTTGGCATTTCAGAGCCTTGGCAGAAGTTGAATAAATTGGTGGGAGGTGATGCTGTCAGCTGGAGCTGTTGTGCTGTTCGTGATGGAGAAAAGGTAAGAAGGGCAAAGCCCTCATTAGCCAAGAAAGCACTAACAGAGCTCAAAGCAGGGCAATCCCACACAGCTACAAGGCAAGGACGGCAGCAGGGTCAGACCCCAGACCGGAGACCACTGAGCAAGGGAGCCGATCACGCGGGAACTTCGTTTGCCTGAGGCAGGAAAGGTGCTTGGTTCAGCCAGGTGCTGCCCTGGCAGCCAGCTACCCACATCACCAAGAGGGTACACAATGACCGTTTCCTCCTGCCGGTGATTTCACAGCCCCGAGTGTGTGTATGGGAGGGGATGGCACCATTCCTGATTCTGAAGGCAGAAATGTCCCTGAGTAAGGAGCACACTGTCTTCATGGGCCACTGGCTTCTGGGCTGGAGAGCTGGGCCTCCACTGGGACTGAGAGCGAGTGGGAAGGAGTCAGGGCAAGGAGACCTAGAAAGCTGGAGGCTGCAGCCCAGGGAAGGAGCACGTCCCCAAAGCCAACGCCATGGAGCGCCAAAGCCCTGTCTCAGGTGTGGGTGTGAGAAGAGCCAGGCTGATCAAGGTGGGCTGGGGGCTCTGAGGTGGCCAGAGAGCAGCAAGGAATGTTTTCGTTTCCTCCCTGCCTCGAGCCCCCTCCAAGTCAGCCTCGGACACCTGGTCCGAGCCCAGCCACACACACCTGTAGTGCCAGACCCCAACACTTCCTCCTGCAGGGAAACAGGCACAGAGATTCAATGGCTTTCCTATCAAGTGGCAGTGGTTCTGGGAGCAGGGTCTAGCACTCTTAGCCCGCAGTTCTCGCCTGACCACTGAATCACTCCTAGAATGATTCAAACGGCTGCTGAAGAAATAATTCCCTAGGTCAGGTGCCAAAGGATAAGGGGGTGAGAGAACAAGAACCCCCCCCAAATCAGAAAATAAAAATCTCCTCACCTGAGAACTCTTAAGTTATTTTCGTAAAAGCTTGTTTTTGAAGCCTCATATATTCTAGCCTTTGTGATGAATCAGAGATGTCGAATTTTATATTTATAAATACCTTCTGCCTCGAAGAATCTCGCGCACCTTAAAAAGCATCTCTAGTCTTTCCAACAAGGCTAGAATTCTCCTTGACATCACCCTCCCCCAGTGGTCATTAAGAATCTGCTCAGACACTTCTAGAAAGTGGCCACTTACTTCCTCTCTTTATCGTCTTTGCACCACTCGGATGAGAGGGAGGCAAGAAAATAAAGGAAGGACAACGTAGGGGGGGGGAACATCAGCAAAACAAAATCAGTGGCTGGATCCCCACCACCACTGCTTGATTGGAGCTCTGTTCATTCTCTGAGGCAACCCAGCGATATTTCAAGCCCGTGATCACAAGACGAGGAGTCTAATCCATGTGTCTTCCAGAGCCCAGCACCTTCAGTTCTCAAGCAGTTTCCACATGCTAAGGAAAATGTGGAGGGGCCCTGCCCATCTTCCCTCAATCCTATCCAGCCTTCCTTCGTTATGCCGCCCAAATGTCCCGAAATGTACAAAAGAAGAAGCAGCAGCAGCAACAACAATAAAGGGGGGGGGGGGGGTAGGGAAAAAAAAGAACCAGAAAAAAGTATGTTTTAAGACCAGTCCCTGGGGAAGACCCTTTTACCACGTCTCCCCCTTCAGGCTGGGAGTTCCCCTAACCGGGACCCTGTTGCCACTCCGCAGTGTTGCCTCCCAAGCCGCTGCCTCCCCCCCCAACCCCCGGCTGGATCGGTGCCCCTTAGGCACTCAGTAAGTGTTGTTGAATTCGTCTGAAGAGGCAATCGAGCGCGTTTCGATCGGAATCCCTGCCCCTGCTTGCCCGATTTTCTGTCTCCAGCCCGCCACGCAGCCTGCTCGAAGATAAAACTTCGCAGCTCCGAAGCGTCCCAGCCTGCTCCCCAAGCCGAGAGCTGACCGCTGAGCCGGCTGCGAGAGGCGGCTGGGCCACCCCAGCAACAAGTGCCGGCTCCCACACTGGTGCCTCGCGGGCTCCGGCTACCGTTCCCGCCCGCCCTTCTCAGCCCCCTCCCGCCTACATGGGGGTGGGGAGAGCAGAAAGACGGGAGAGGCAAGTCGGGGGGCCTCGTCCTTGACCTGTTGGGGGACCAAAAGTTAAAATGGCACCAACCGGATGGCTCCATCTCCATGGCTATTTTCTCACCGAGGAGAAATTTAAAAATGCAAACAGTACTGCGGCTTGGCTTGGACGCGCTCTAACCCAGACCAGTCAGTTCCGCCACCTGAAAACTAAAGGCCCGTTGTTTGCGGACAGCCCGGCTGCCCTCCTCGCCGCATCCCAGGTGGAGGCGCCGGAGCTGGGGCGGCCCGGAGCATCCCTGCACGGTGGGCGCGAGCACCCAGGCCCCCAGGGCCCCGTGCGCCCGTCCCCGCACGCGCTGTGCCGGGAACAGATAGTAGGGGCAGGCGGGCCGGGCGCGGGGTCTCGGCCTCCGCGGCGAGTTTGGGGCCCCGCGGGGTGGCCGCGCGCGGGGGCGCACTCAGGCACCGGCGGCGGCCACTCCTGCGCTGGTTCCCCCAACACTTACTGAGCGCCCGCTAAGCATCCGACGCGGCCGCAGGCTGAGCCCACCCCCTAGCCAGGCCGCCTCTGATCGGTGCTCTAACCCCGCTACCAGAACACCGAGGCTCGCAGAGGTCCGGTAACTTGCCCAAGGTCACAGCGTTAGAAAGTGGCGGAGCCGGGATTCGCAGCCACGTCCCTCTGGCTCCAAGTCCGGCGCTCCGCGAGGCCAGGACTCCGCGAGCAGCCGGCCCGCCGCTCTCGCTTATAAGCAGAGGGGTGTGTGCGTGGGTGTGCGTGGCTGAGTGGGCGTGCGTGTGGGGGAGAGCAGAGGTCGCCTGGGTAGTAGAGGCAAGTTGCCCAAATTCGCTAACTTCCATCTCGCAATTGCCCCGAACTCGGCCCGAAAAGCCCCGTTTCGCCTCCGGCCCCCAAAGGAAACCTGAGCTTTGTGCAGCCCCGGAGCGCGAGCGTCCAGATGCGGTCCGGGCGGTTAGCAAAGTCGGTGGCAGCCGAGCTGGAGAAAGCGCGGGCGCGGGGAGAAAAGGTGCTGCCGTCTCCCCGGGAAAAGCGGGCGCCTGCCGGCAGGCGGGAGCGCTGGCGAGCGAAACGGCTCGCGGGCGGGCAGGCGGCGGCCCCTCCGCCCCCAGCAGAGCAGCTTTCGAACAGGAAACAACTCCCTCGAAGCCCCCCGGGCCGCCCGGCCGCCGCCCGCTCCCCACGCCCGCGCGGCTGGGGTCCCCCGGCCCCGCCGCCCAGCCCAGCGCCCTGCCGGGCGGCCCGCCTTACCTCTGGGAAGCCGCCTGCCCTGGAGAAGGAAGCGCGGAGCCCGGTGAGCCGCGGGCGAAGCGGCGGAGCCCCCAGCCCCTGTCACGCACGCCGCCACCGCCGCCGCGAGCCGGTCGCGCTCAGTGCCACCCGACCCCGGGGCGCCTGGGAAAAGCCCGCACCGCGCGCCGCCGCCGCGCCGCACCGCGCCAAGCGGCCCCGGCCCGCGCCCGCCCGCCCGCCCGCGGCTTCGGCGCCTGACTCCGGGGCGGTGGCGCGGCGGTGGCGGCCACCGCGCTCCCTTCCCGGCGCGGGGGACCCGGCTCTCAAGCCCCCATTGCCGCCCGGAGAGCCCTGACGCACACGCACACGGCAGCAGACTGGCCTCGGCTCGGAATCCCAGGAAGGACAGACCCTTTCCCCCTTTTTCCCCTCTCCCCCTCAATTTCCACGTCTTTATAACCGGCTTAGGGCATTATTAGCACATGTCCTGGCTCGTGGGCGAGTTGGTGGCAAAATCTGAACTGGATACTCACGCAGGGCCAGAGCGGGTGCTGTGCCTTCCGTAGCCTTCTCCCTCCTCGCCGGGAAGACCCTCAGTCGGCGGGCTGCGCGCGGGCTGCGGGCGGGGTGAGCAGCCTCCGCGCGCACGGAGCAGCCTGCGGGTGCAGAGAGCAGCCTCCGGGTGCAGAGAGCAGCCTCTCGGGCAGCTCAGCCGTATCCCTTCTGCAGCTGTGCCGCTGGGAACATTTTATAGCGGCGGCTGGAGTGTGTGGCCCTTTAAAGGCGCTCGAGCTGGTGCAGTCACCGCGGATCGTGTGAAAGCGAAGGGCCGGCTGGGGAACGGAGTCCGAGCGGCCCCGCGGGTCCGGCAGCGCCGGGAACGGGCCACGGCTCCCGGGGTGGAGCTGGGGGACCCAGGCCATAGGCACCCCGAGCCCTGAACCCTCGGCCGACGCTTGTGCTTCTAAAGCTGGCGGGGACCTGGGCCCGGGACATGGTCTCTCCCCACCGCCCTGCATGGACTTGCCCAATAAATTCCACTTAGTAATTTCGCTAAGGCGAAGGAGAGCTGTTAGTGTGTATTTTCTGACCTAAATCTAGCGGGTGGCCGGAGAGGGCTTCAGGAGAGGTGGGGGTGGCTGGTGGGTGACAACTCTGGACTCAGGGAGTGACCCCGAGCGAGCGGGGGGCGCACAAGGGACTGGACCGGGGAGGGGTGGCACTATAGGGGTTCTCCGGAGGGCTTTCCCGGAGCCTGTCTGTCCCTTTGGGCTGCACCATCTCTCTTGTTGAAGGGACTAGGCTGTGGTCCCTTTTCCCCTCAAAGTGTCCAGATTTCAGGCAGAGCCTCGTCGAGAGCCTTTCTGCCGGCAGCAGTGGCTTCCCTCGAAGGCCTGAGCCGGGTTGGGCTCCAGGGATTCTCTCTTGTGGTCACCCAGGGCGGACGGAGGCTGGCGGGATGCGACGCAGAAATATGCTGCCCTGCCAGGCCAGGTGCAGCTCACGAGGCATGCCAAAGGCCAGGATCGGGAAGCAGAGAAGGAAGAGTTTGCCCCTGGGTTCCCGGGGATTCCTCCTGCCTGCCCAGGTTATTTTATTATGATTACACAATCGTTGCCATCCAGCAAGAACAAGATTTTGCATTCGGAGTTCATCTTTCACAGGTTGGGATGTTACCGTAAAAATCTTTACGGGAAAGAGGTCCAGCCTTCTCCTTCATCAGTTCGTGTTCCTTGTGCCCAAGAAACTCCTCACCTCTTACAGGAAGGCCGCCAGGATTACCCCTCTCCCACACTCCCTTTTTCGGTCCGTTTTAGCTACAACTACTCAGCTTACACCGTTTATAAAACATCCTTTTTTTAAAAAAAGAAAAAAAAACCCTCCCAAATGTTAAGGGGAAAAAAGGGGGGGATGTCACCAAAGCATATTCACTGTGTATGTGTTCTGTCTTCTTAATTGGATTTGAAGACCTATAGGTCTTTTTCTCTTCCCCCCTTTCTTTTCCTTCTTTCATCCCCAAGTGCCTTCATTTGCTCTTCGAACAAAGTTCTGTTTGCTGACGGACTGACCGCTTACCAACGCAAAGATGGGCAGCAAACAGAGGGACAGGTCAAGGCCCTTTCTGGACACCTGGAGGAAGCTGGGGCGAGTTCTCTGACGGCCAGGTAAGCTCATTTCCCAGCCCCCAAGGCTGCTTTGCGCGTCTCCATTCCCTCCCCTCACCCAGCCCCAACACAAACCCCAGTAACTACCACACCATTGCTGCACTTTCTCATTTGACCCAAAGATCGTGGGTTGTTTCCCTCTGATAAAAGGTGGGATCTGTCCAGATCATAAAACCCTACGGAGTTTGACTGTAAAATACACCCTCAAGCCATCTCTGTGTTTGCCTGAGGCTGAAGACCCTAGGTTTTCAAATTGTGCGTTGCTCATTTGGACCTCCGACCTATTCTCCCTCTCAGCCCCCGCTGGGGAGCAGATCCAGAAAGGCGGCAGCGGCTTCGTCGCAGACTCCAGATCCAGGAGGTGGCGAATCCACCTTCCATCTATTGGATGACTCCCAGGCCAATTGTTAGAAAGAGGCATATGTTCATCTCGGCTTCTGGAGTGTCTCCGGAGCAGTTGCTCAACAGCCATCCCCTCCCCCATCCGGACCATTGAAGGGCAGAAAAAAGAGCGCCCTCCGCCCCATTTCTGTGCCCACATGCCAGAAAGGGTCTTCCCACTGGTGACTTCCTGTCATCTCTGCTGTCCCCCTCCCGGAGAGCAGGAAAGAGGGGCTTCAAGCGCTCAGCTCCGGAGCACAAAAGCCACCCCTTTCTTTTGGGGGGAGATGGGAGAGGAGGTTAGTTGCAGAGGCTGGGAGAGAGCAAAGGAGACATTTGCATTTCTCTGCAAATAAGCCCCGGATCTCGGACTTCCCAGTCCGCCCCAGCCGAGCTCCGAGCTCTCCGCTGAACTCTTCTCTCCAACTTGGCAACTAGACTTCGAGCTCAGAGTAGCAAGTAGAGGACGGAGCTGGTCTCCCGGCGAGAACCCTCCGTGCGCCAGCATTGGGCCTGGCATGTTCCTATCCATTATCTCATTTAATCACCTGTGAGGCAGGGTTTACCAAAGGTGAAACGGAGTCCCGGAGATTTGCCCAAGTTCACACAGCCAGGAGATGGGGGTTTGAATCCGGGTCAAGCTGACTGCAAAGACCTTACCTTCACCCCTGCACTTCGTTGCCTGGGAGGGTCAAGAATCATCTAGACTGTATCCCGAGTACAGTTTCAGGAGTCAGTCCGCCTGCCTGGGTGTAAATCCCTACTTTGCTATTTACTAAGCTCTGTGATCTTAGGCTACGTGGTCAGTCATAGGGCCTTAGTTTTCCCATCTGCTAAATGGGGAATAATGGCAGCAACTCTGGAGTTGTTGAAAGGATTGGAGGAAGCGGTTAGCCTGCTGTGTAGCAAGGGGTCAAAAAGTGCTGTTATTTTCTGCTTCTTTTTCTTTTGCCTCGTAGCCCTGTCTAAGCTCACACACTTCAGGTTCAATAATATTTGCTGACTGATTAAAGAAAAAAACAAAAACAAAACCAGACAGAGGGCTCTCTGAGCCACATGGCAGGAGTAAATTAGGGACCGATACAAGACGCTCGCCTTTCCCCCAACAGCTGGAAACTTCCAGAAGAGGCTCCAGAAACATATACTCAATATGTGTGTAGAAAAGTTAAAAAGCAGAAGTCTTTGTTCAAGAATGTTTGGAGCAGAATTGTTTATGATAGTGAAAAATAGAAAGCAATCTAAATGTCCATGGTAAGGAAGTGTCCCTTGGGACCTTGACACTTAAAAAAACAACTGATTTCCAAAACTCATTTATGGGAAAATGTTCACTACCAACTATTAAAACAAAACAAAACAAAAACCCCTGGTCCTAGCTGGGTAGCTCAGTTGGTTAAGCATCGAACTCCAAGGCTGGGGGTTCGATCTCTGGTCAGGGCATGTACAAGAGTCGACCAGTGAATGCATAGATAGGTGCAACAACAAAAATAGATCTCTCTCTCTCCCCCCCCCTCAGATCAATAAAAAAAATTAAATGGTACAAAATGAAAATAAAAAAACCTCTGGGTACAAAGTTGCATAAATATGATGTCAAGTTGCAAAGGGCAAAAAGAGTAAAATATTAAATAGTGTATTTCCGGCCATGTATGAATATGGGTAATGAAGTGATGGTCAGGAAAACATCAAACTAGTAAGTGGGGTGGTAGAGTTATGAGTGAATTTTCTCTCTCTTTTCTCCCTGTCATATAATATTGTTCTTACAATTAAATATGTTTATAGTTAATGAACTACATAGACAATATGCTCCCACTTTTGTTAAAATTGTATTGCACAGAAGAAATCTTGGAAGTAAATACACCAAAATGATAACAGTGATTATAGTTGAGTAGGGAGATAATGGTGCTATTTTTCTTTTCCTTTTCTTTATTTTTCTGCAATATGATTATATTATTTTCTTACAATTAAAACATTAATAATTTGGAAAGTGGATAATCAGTATGCTCCCACTTGTGTTAAAAGTATGTATACAAAGTGAGAAGGAGATATATGGAAATATTAAGTTTTTATATTAGGTGGTAAAGGATTATGGGCAATTTTCCCTTTTGATTTTCTGTAATATGATTTTATTACTTTTATAATTAAATAAAATGATACAAAAATGACATATACAGTAGCATCCCACTTTTGTGTATATGTGTGTATATATACACACAGAATAAATACTAGGCTACTTCAAAACATGGTTGTCTCTGGATGGTGGGGCGATTTTTGTTTTCTCCTTTATACAGGATTTCTTCATTTTCCAATTGTTTTTACAGTCATTGTGTATTATTTTTTTAATTACGAAAAGTGTAAAAAGCAGTTCAATTCTGAAGTATTTATGGGTAAAAAGGACATATCTTGGCTTTGCTTTAAAATATTCCAGGGAGGATAGGGTTCAGTGGGTGGCAGTATAGATAAAACAAAATGGACACATGGCCTTCTAAATTATGTTTATTTGTGTATACGTTTGAAAAGTTCCATAAATATTTTTTAAAAAGCATTTTCACATACCTTATCTCCCTTCGTCTCATGGTAACCCTGTGGGGTTATTGCCATTTTATGGAACACTAGGATTGAAAGAGATGAAGTCACCTGCCCCGGGTCACACAACAGCAAGTGAGAGAGTGGCCTTGACTTGGGCTCCTCACCACATCCCAGTTGCTGCTTCTTTTTAATAATTAAAAATGATTAACATTTTGTTTGGTTATAAATGTCATAACTGTTCACTGCACAGAATGTGGAAATAACAGGAAAGCAAGGGGAGGAAAACACAATCAACTCAAGCTAATCAGAGTTAACTCCTTGGTGTCCGGCCATGGACACTTGATCTAGGTTGCGGCTACTCCATTGGTAATGGG